GGTATGAGCTTGCTGCCATTGGCGCTGCCTCTACCTCACTCTGTCCTGTTTTGTAATTTAATTCGGTTGCATGTTTTGTGTGCGGGGAAGGCTCACCGTTGTCAAAATAAACCAATGAGTTTGAGATGTTGTTATAATTTCGCCTGTTTACTCAGAAAAGCCTCACCGAACCCCATGACTCTTTTTCACGAGGGTCCTGTGAAGTTTTCACAGCGGGGGGAGGGTGATGATTGTTCCGTATAATCCCAATTGAGCAATATGTGGGTGATTTTTTTTATTTGGACCAATGCACCTGCACCCAGTGGCCTACTCTTGCGAATGACATAAACGCAACAAAGAAAGTAAAACATGATGAAAGCTGAGAGTATTATACGGTGGTACGCGTTAGTGCCCCATAATTCTTCGTCTCTCCATGTATATCACAATGTCTCTTTCCATGTCTGTCCCACTTCATGTCTCTCTGAGTGTCTCCATTTCTCTTTCTTGTGGCTGTGTCGCTGGGTCTGCATGTAACAGGAAGCGGTGGTGCGGTGGTTAACGGATAGCGCTATAAAGCCGCCGACCTGAGTTTGATTACCAGCCACGGCTAACATCAGTGGCGAGTACTATCAGAACCGGTCACATGCCTCCTGTAGGTCAACTCGGCCTTATAGGAGGACCTGTTGTACAGTGTAAACATCAGCACTGGGGAGACAAAGGCAGTTGGGCGTGTTGCTGGCCCATGGTGCACCGTACTGGCCCTTAACCCTACGTCTCTAAGTCCCCTCCCCCTCACCACCATCTGCACAGGACCCCTGGCTTCGTGTTGAGACAGCTCTGCATACAGTTGGAAGTTGTGCAGCATTTCCTGACAGCTTAAAGTACAATTCAAGGAAATTTTAAAATGTCAGGCCAAAGGACGATCAAAAAACTGGGTCGCTTCTTGGCAGATGGTCCCCAATTATGATGCGCAAGGGCAACCACGATATTGATATTTTCAGTTTCATTTTAGTTCTGTACAGCTCTTGTGACTCGCGTGTTGGGCTTTTGAGCAGGAAGTAGAAAGCTATAGTTGCACACTAAATTCTTAAGGAAGGATGTGCTTGTGGCCGTTTGTCCACGTGCACATGTGGAGGTGTAGATTGTGGGGAGCGGCAGCGCACGCGGTTAGCGCGCCGCGCTACAAACCCAGCGACCAGAGTTCGATTCCTGCTCACGGCCAACACCAGTGACAATTACCTGGACCCTTCCTCGGCCTCCCCTAGGTCGACTCAGCCTCAAATGAGCACCTGGTGCGGTGTGTAAAAACATCGCCACTGGGGAGACAAAGGCACCAACAGTCTGCTCAGGCTATACAGGGGATCTTTGTCTTTGGTATAGATATGAACCATGTCTCCCTTGGACCCGACAGGTTGTTTTTGTCTTTTTCCCCCAATGTTGCCCCAATTGTGCATTATGAGATGAAGATTCCATTCGGGACTATCGCAGAGCAGTACAAGAACGCATGTTGGCAAATGGTCTGAGATCCCTTCCAAGTGACCTCTTATCCACACTTTTGGGCAGCACTTTCCTACCTGCCCTGCCACAGTGTAATGTTCATCGCGTAGCAGTCAAGCTGATGTTCTTTAATAATTATCAGAGCTGGAATTTAGCCAAATTCAGTGCGAAACCAAAATGTACTAAATAGATTTCGATTTAAAGCTTTCGTGACTGCAGGGATTCATCTTCTTGGTTCTTTCGGTAAAGTCACGAAGAATGGAAATAAAATTTATTTTATTATTTTATTTATTTTATTACTTTATTTCCATTCTACGTGACTTTACCGAAAGAACCAAGAAGATACTAAATAGATATTCGTTGGTTCTTTCGGTAAAGTCACGTACAGTGAGGGAAAAAAGTATTTGATCCCCTGCTGATTTTGTACGTTTGCCCACTGACAAACAAATGATCAGTCTATAATTTTAATGGTAGGTTTATTCGAACAGTGAGAGACAGAATAACAACAAGAAAATCCAGAAAAACGCATGTCAAAAATGTTATAAATTGATTTGCATTTTAATGAGGGAAATAAGTATTTGACCCCCTCTCAATCAGACAGATTTCTGGCTCTCAGGTGTCTTTTATACAGGTAACAAACTGAGATTAGCAGCACTCCCTTTAAAGGGAGTGCTCCTAATCTCAGCTTGTTACCTGTATTAAAAAGGGAGTGCTCCTAATCTCAGCTTGTTACCTGTATAAAAGACACCTGTCCACAGAAGCAATCAATCAATCAGTTTCCAAACTCTCCACCATGGCCAAGACCAAAGAGCTCTCCAAGGATGTCAGGGACAAGATTGTAGACCTACGCAAGGCTGGAATGGGCTATAAGACCATTGCCAAGCAGCTTGGTGAGAAGGTGACAACAGTTGGTGTGATTATTCGCAAATGGAAGAAACACAAAAGAACTGTCAGTCTCCCTCGGCCTGGGGCTCCATGCAAGATCTCACCTAGTGGAGTTGCAATGATCATGAGAACGGTGAGGAATCAGCCCAGAACTACACGGGATGATCTTGTCAATGATCTCAAGGCAGCTGGGACCATAGCCACCAAGAAAACAATTGGTAACACACTATGCCGTGAAGGGCTGAAATCCTGCAGCGCCCACAAGGTCCCCCTGCTCAAGAAAGCACATATACATGCCCGTCTGAAGTTTGCCAATGAACATCTGAATTATTCAGAGGACAGCTGGGTGAAAGTGTTGTGGTTAAATGAGACCAAAATGGAGCTCTTTGGCATGAACTCAACTCGCTGTGTTTGGAGGAGGAATGCTGCCTATGACCCCAAGAACACCATCCCCACCGTCAAATATGGAGGTGGAAACATGCTTTGGGGGTGTTTTTCTGCTAAGGGGACAGGACAACTTCACCGCATCAAAAGGACGATGGACGGGGCCATGTACCGTCAAATCTTGGGTGAGAACCTTTTCCCTCAGCCAGGACATTGACAATGGGTCGTGGATGGGTATTCCAGCATGACAATGACCCAAAACACACGACCAAGGCAACAAACGAGTGGCTCAAGAAGAAGCACATTAAGGTCCTGGAGTGGCCTAGCCAGTCTCCAGACCTTAATCCCATAGAAAATCTGTGGAGGGAGCTGAAGGTTCGAGTTGCCAAACGTCAGTCTCGAAACCTTAATGACTTGGAGAAAATCTGCAAAGAGGAGTGGGGCAAAATCCCTCCTGAGATGTGTGCAAACCTGGTGGCCAACTACAAGAAACGTCTGACCTCTGTGATTGCCAACAAGGGTTTTGCCACCAAGTACTAAGTCATGTTTTGCAGAGGGGTCAAATACTTATTTCCCTCATTAAAATGCAAATCAATTTATAACATTTTTGACATGCGTTTTTCTGGATTTTGTTGTTGTTGTTATTCTGTCTCTCACTGTTCAAATAAACCTACCATTAAAATTATAGACTGATCATTTCTTTGTCAGTGGGCAAACGTACAAATTCAGCAGGGGATCAAATACTTTTTTCCCCTCACTGTAGATTGAAAATAATAAAATAAAATAAACATTCATCAGAACCAAAATACTCACGACGTTTCGATCGCAACACAAGTGGTCGTCATCAGTGGGAGAGAAAATGAATTCCTGCAGTCACGAAATAGGTAAATTTGTGCAATTAGCAGACATTCTAGTTATCTTTAAAAAGCCACGGCTATCTTTGCATTTACATCCCTTAGTCAATCCACTGCTAGATAAAGGCTTCCCCTTACCGTGTAATAAGGGTTGTTTGACTATCCTACACTACATTAATCAATGTGTGTCGGTTAACTGGGGCACAGGACCAATTAACATTTAACTCGTCGCTGTTTTTAACCGTGCCCAGGAATATAACTGGGGTCTACAAGTTCATAGTGTAGGGCATGAACCTCTGCTTCACCGTTCCATCCCGCCCCGGCACTCGTAACCACCTAAAAATGAGTGGCCAGTTCGAATTTTGAATTATATTTCCGATGTGTCCAAACAAATCGATTGCGAAGTTGTGTGCGGGGCGTTAAGAAATGCATTACGTTGCCAAAAAAAAATGCTTAACCTCTGCACTCCTTGTAAACGGTGACTCCAGTGTTCTGTATGAGTTGATACATATTTGTGGGTTTGAGTGTCTTCTCTGGTCAATACTCTAATGTGATTGTGTTGGCTCGGGCTGCACATGGGAGCTTATAATGTGATATCGGTGGCACTTGGGGCTTAACAGAACTCCTTCGCCACAGATCTGTCTCAATTGGCTCTTCCCAACAGTTAAGTAAAGGAATTGAAAATAACCGGTCAGGGTGACATTCGATATTAAATATGGGCATTAACAATGAATTTGTTTCCCCATGCATCGAACTGTTTGTGTAAGAATCGATCATTGACTTTTTCATGCCAATTGTATAGAGATTTTTCATGATCAGGCCCAAACGAAGGGGACACGTTGTACCATGTTGACGGAAAGGACAATTTTGACGGACAATACAGATGACAGCTCAGCAAGGTATCACAAACGAGAGAGAGTGTATGATTGAGACAGACAAAATAAAACGAAACAGAACGGTACAAGGGAAACGGAGATAATACAAAGTAAACGGTGCAGACGCTACAAACAAGACTGTGCAAATGTTACTATCAAACAGAACAGTACAGACAACACAGTACAAAGGAAACAGTACAAAGACGATGGACAATACTGGTGAGATAGATGGTAGAAGCATGGCTGTACACACTAGACAGGAGAGATGAGTCCGTACAAGCAGCACTGATCACACACACGACACATCACAAAGGAGTACAAACAAGACAAAAAGGAAGGATTTCTTGAATCAAATCATTACCCCGAATCTTGACAATGTATCAAATGTTGTGCTGTTGAATAATTACATGCCTAATTCAATATACATAGAGATTGCAGGTTTGGCATCGTTCTGGATAAAACACCTCGAAAAGCCCCTGCGGTAAACTCTCATGTTAATTTCTGGGGGGTTTTTTCCCACGTTCAGGCCTCAAGTGCCCCATCTGCTCCAAGTTCGTGGACTCGGATGAAGTTGAGGCGCATCTGGTCATGTGCCTCACCAAGCCTCACATCTCGTACAACGGTCAGTTGCGCATGCCGTGCAAACGCAGTCTGATAGCCCGGGAAGGTGGCCGCCGCACTGGTGGCAAAAAAAACCCCTCTCGAGTGGCAAGATTTGTCTTCAAGGAATGCTGTCGCCCCCCTAAGATGTCCTGCTCCGACATCTTAAGGGGGCGACAAAATTCGTCTTCAAGGGACGCTGTCGCCCCCCTAAGATGTCGCTCCCCTAAGATGTCCTGCTCCGACATCTTAAGGGGGCGACAAGATTTGTCTTCAAGGGACGCTATCGCCCCCCTAAGATGTCGCTCCCCTAAGATGTCCTGCTCCAAAATCTTAAGGGGGCGACAAGATTTGTCTTCAAGGAACGCTGTCGCCCCCCTAAGATGTCCTGCTCGGACAGCAGGCGCGTGTGGAATATCCCGAACCTTGAAGGTGTTGCCGAATAGCCGACGAAGCAGCCCAGCTGTGGTGCCGATGGCAACGTCTCGGTCTGATAAACTCGGTGGCAGCACTCAAGGTCTGAATGCAGCCTGTCCACACAAGATCTTGTCAACGTTAATGAAAATGAACCCAACATTTTTTATAGTTCATATGTACTACTACTACTACGACCACAACTACACATTACATTTCCTGTCACTTTGATCACTGGTGTGCGTTGATAATTGTTAGGGATGCAACAATTCATCCTTCACTGCCCTCCGCCCCTCAACATCCCTCTCATTACTCGGTGCATTGTTAGAGTTCAGAGTTACAATTCAAGATTCTATTCTGTCTTGGCTTGTTTTTTTCATTCCTTGTTTGCAGGGGCTGAGCAATGAATGGCATTGATTTATCATTACACATTAATTATTAAGCTCACAACACGTGAATCAAATCGCGTGTGAAAGCATCGACTTTTTCATTTCGCGTGCGTTGCACGTAATGGGTTTAACGTCACCTCTGCGGTCACTGGAGGCGCTAGCATGCACCTTGGTGTCCAAAAAAGTACAATTCTCGAATGGGATCGCGACTCTACATTTCGACAATTCATTTAAACGCTGAATCATTCGATCCCTACTCATTTACATCGTCTCTTTTGTTGAATTAGCTTAAAGGTCATATCTTAGCATTTACATGAAATGTACATAATTTGTACACGCATGATTGTTGTAAGAATCAATTATAGTCAAAAGATTTGTTACATGCCTAATAATTAGGCTTGTGTGGATGTCCTCTACTGGTAAGTGTTCCTACAGTCATTACACTGCTGGCTGTCGGTCATGGGGGTTGTTTGATTATACTTCACTACTCTGGTCAGTGTGGGTTCCTGAATGGGGGAATCGAGGACCCGTTTTAGGTATCGCTCGCCACTGATGTTAGCCGTGATTGGGAATCGGAATTCGGTGCGCTAACCACTCCAACCCCTACATATGAATGTTTTTAATCATGTGTTTGCAAATTCAAACGTGCACATTACGCATTTACGTAACCCGCAGCAACACTCAAAAGACATCTTGGCGCCCCGTCACGGCATCGTTAAATAATGAAATCAACAAATAGTTGCCCCACCCGCACCTACGATTTGTACGGTAAGAAAGAAGTTCAACATAATACATATTTTGACAAAACGTACAGTTACCTGTCCCGTACACCATCTCCGTGTTGTGCTGCAGTGCCCTCATTAGCTCCTTACATGGAAAGGGTTTTTTTTTAATCTGTTTACACTTACATTGCTAGAATTGTTTGCATTTCTCTTGTTTTTAGCCGTACCTGGTTCTATCAACAAGCAACAGGTTTTCACCCAGATACCAAAACCAGTCTGTATTTCACACTCCTCCACTATTTTGCAGTGGCAGCAGCTCAATTGGGTGTGTTCTCGCGAGGTCTGTGCACACGACGCCATTCCCTAGATGATGTGCCACTACGTATGTGTATGTATGTTGAACCTCTTTCTCACCGTACATAGCCAAACGTGCTTATCGGAGGTGCGCGGGGCACAATCAAACTGAGCAAATGCTAAGGTACCCAAGGAGCTCAAGACCCCCCCCCCCTCTCCCCCAGAAAATAAATGGGGGTGAACCAAATATCAACTCGAATTTAAAGTTTAATAAACATAAGCTCATTTAAATTTTGATTTAAAGCTTTCGTGACTGCAGGGATTCATATTCTTGGTTCTTTCGGTAAAGTCACGTGAAAACCACCTGATGATGATTGCTTGTGTTGCAGTCGAAACGTCGTGAGAATTTTATTGTTTTATATCTTTATTATTTTATTGTTTCCCTTCGACGTGACTTTACCGAAAGAACCAAGAATATGAAGCTCATTTAAATTAAAAATGTTTTTATCTCTCTCTCTTGTCTGCGTCTCTTCTTCTACCATCCATCTCCGTCTTCATCTCCTTTCCACACCTATCTCATTTCACCACGTCTTTTGTCTCACCTGTATCCCTGATCTCGTCTCATATGTTCAGCCATATCTGTTATCAAAATGTCTCTCATTTCACTACTCCTCCATCCCTCGGGTCTATTTTTCTTCTGTCATCTCACTAAGGGTTTTATTAATTGAAAGTGGGGGGGGGCGGGGGGCCGGTGGGCTGGTGCGAAAAAGTGATTTTTACTTTTTGGCCCCCCGATGGGGCCGAGCTTCCACCGTTTCCTGGAAGCTCGTAGCCACCCCGGCGTCGTGTGCCAGCCGAACGTCGTTTGTTTTGTCCTTGCTGCCAAGGGAACCTCTCGGGGGGTGTGGGGAGGGTTACAGGAGCTGTTGTTCGCGAACGTCGCACGCCTGCCACACTGGCACGCCCACACGGCTCACCGCCAGCCCGCGATTACGAGAGCCACCCCTCCATTGGGGAAGATTTTAAATCGCCGTGATGCCATTTGTAGCTTGTCTCGCCTGAGTCAGTTTAACGCGTAGTAAGGCTTCCGCGAGCAATATTATTCGTAATAAAGGTTTTTTTTGTTTGTTTTGGGTTAGATCGCGTAAATATAAATGTGTCGTCAAACCCGCCACCACCCGACACAGCCAATTAGTAAGGTTTGTCACGTAAGCAAAACGTGGCAATTAGTTACTCATTGGTAACTAATTGAAAAACTAGGCAGTAGCGTGTTTCAGTTTGTTAACAGTAACTGTCCTATACTCTTTATATTCCTAAAAGACGTGTTGTTTTAATGGGCCGTCATTTGCCTAAATAAAGCGATCGTACTAATTTGAGCGACCAGTGAAGCACAGTGATCATGATGATAACAGTGTGAACCTAAATGAACTCTTAAACATCCCACCGACAATCGTGGCTGACACCGCTGCTCACGCGCGCCCTCTTTTTAACACCCTACAGTACGGCGCGCTTGTATGCCTGGGGGAAAGAAGAGCATTGGCACGCTGTGTTGCTGGTTTCATTGCCTGCTTTGATGTACGGCTGAGAGCAATGTCCATCCAGTAGCCGCAGCCGTACAGACGAGGCAGGCCACACGCCGACGGCTTTGCGTGTTATTCCCTTCTCCTCGCCACCCGCGCGGCGTTAAAAACATCCTGGTCGTGCACGTCACAGTGACGTCGCGTATGGACGTGTGTACGTGTGCCGTGCCGGCCTTCGTAGGTGCTACTCGCTAACGGCCCTTGCCCCAACAGTCTGTTCAGGCTCTACGGGGGATGTTTGTCTTTGTGTGTGTTGAACTTTTTCCGCACTGTACGTAGGCAACCGTGCTAATCGGAGGAGGCGCGCGAGTTGTCCGGTCGTCGAGCGAGGTGCAGTGGCTGCACGCGGGGGGGGGTGGGGGGGGGTTGGTGGCGCACCTTGTGGCAATCGCAATAAATCTGTGTCAGGTTCCTGGCTGTGATGCACAGGAACGGAACGCGGTGTTTATTGCGATGGTAGTACGGCGGGGCTAACCCTTAGGCCACCACTCCTCGCTTTGTGAACAGAGCCACTCGCGCATCGATATGCAACACCACTGTAACACAAACTAATTCCATTACAATGAACCTGCGTTCGATTTCCGGTGCGCGATGTTCCAGACCGGTGGAAACTGTTTATATGAACCTGACCTGGGTTTCCCCATGGGTGACTCGGTCTAAAATGAGTGCCTTGTACGATGTGTCAGCATTGCTGCTGGGGAGAAACCCGACATCTCTACTGTCTGCAAGGCTAAACGAGTTTGTCTGATCATAGTCTTGTGTTTGTGTTCAGAGGATGTGCTGGCCAAGGATTCGGGGGAATGTCCCATCTGTCTGGACGACATGGATGAGGGGAACACTATTGCCCGGTTGCCCTGCCTCTGTATCTACCACAAACAGTAAGCAGCACTAATTCACCACGTGTATATATCATCATCATCATCACCAACACCACCACCATCTTCATTCATTAGCCATGATCTATCGACTGCTGGACGAAGGCATCCCCAAGTCGTTGCTGTAACCCTTGTGGGGTCGCGATGCGACATTCCATCACGCTCCATGGAAAACACGAGTTTCACTTTACAGGGTGATCCATTGGTAGATACCCCCCACTAAGATAACAGGGGGGAATTGTAGAGAGCACAAGGTTTTATTTCGACGACTCTGCACATCTCCCAATAAACTGAGCGGAAAGATATGGAGCCGTCGCTCTCTCTCAATGTCACCAATTGAGCGAAAAAGCGAGTACGTGATTATAATCAGTTGGTTATCCATAAATGGATCAACCCGTGTTTATACACCAAGGCAAAGAGCAAATAACTTTATTTAAGAACCGCTCTTGCAGAGCCACATGTCAAAGTTGAAGAATGACTCGATCGCGCATATGAACATCAAACAGAGACGTAACCCTCTTGCCCACTGTGTGCTTGATAAACAGGATGGAGAATGCCATGAATTCTGATTGAACGGTTAAAGCATGAAGCCGCATGACTCACCGCCCAGCAAACACTAATGACCTCGGGCTTGTTTTTCTGTGCCACATTGGCCAAGGTCCTTTGCATGCACTCGAGCATTTGCTGCATTCTGACGCCCGCCGGTGCCTATCCCCATGCTGCAGGTGTATCGATTCCTGGTTCGAGGTGAATCGATCCTGCCCAGAGCACCCTTCGGACTGATTCGGAAGCACACCCAAGAGGCGCCCGTGACGTTTGTAAGTCGATCCGAGTTTGTTGTCGCACTGCCACGGGATTTCCCAGCTCCCCCCCTCCCCCCTTGTGATTGGGTGCGAGAACCCCCACGCCGCTGTCCGCACGCAGCGGGGAGGGGGGGACATTCATCATAAGTCACGCACACAGACGGCGACGTTAACCGCGTGTCTGACGTGTTCTCTTTCAGGGTTTTTTGAACAGCGGTTGGCATTGAAGAGGGCACGCGCACCACCCTATGTAGAGTTTTAGGGAACCGCTCGATCGTTGGCAAAGCACCACGGTGGCACAGGAGATTTGTGAATCTCTAAAACATTGTGCCCGGCAGTTCTTCAATTCAAATTGTTTTCGACTTTGCAGGCCAACTGTGAAGATTAAAGCACACAACGGTGTTTTTGTTTCCCTTGAGGAAAGTAACAAAGCCATGTAATCTCGGTATCACAACATTTTTTTGAAAGCAGAATTAAGTGTACATTGAAAAATGATGAATTCAAATGGAATGTCACCTTTTAAGTATCTTAATTCTGTCTGAAATCATTCTCACCTAACCGGGTGTGCCAGTTGACCCAGAAGAGGCATTTGGCAGGCAAAAGAAAATGCACCTTCATGACTTTATGACTAAGCCTCCCCTTCTCGCCCTCCTGGCTCACGCAATCGTCAGCTCGCCAACACTTGCAGTTTCTGAAAAGTGGCATCAGGTGGCACCGGAGCGTCCAGGGGATGTGATGAACACGCACCAAGCGGGAGCATGGGGGCTGCCAAGATGTGAACCAATGAGGGCACTCGGTGGAGACCAGCACCTTACGTGACACAAAGCCATGAACTCGATACCACGGGGGTGTGGGGGGGTCCATAAGCTGGAAGCTCCTCCCACAGCGACTTGCGAAGGAATGGCACCAAACGGGCCTCACCTTCGTGCTCCTCTGCGCCTTCCCTTGGCCTCTGCGGACAACACACCGTGCGGACATGCCACTTGAGCTCTGTTTGGCACGTTAAGAATTGTGAGCACGGGATGATTGGTTTCCCTGGCTTCCGGTGTTTGGAATGTTCAACCACTGCGTCCGGGCTTCTTCGCTTCACGAACCCCCGCCAGCTTCCACGTCCTGCTCGTGTGGCGTTGTGTGTGTGTGTGAAACGTGTGGCTTGTGTGTGTGTGTGAAACGTGTGGCTCTGTTTGCTAGGAGTATATGCCAGCACCTGTTGTACAGTCTGCATACATGCCATTAGAGCATCGTATAATCAGCTGTACCACAATCAACCTTTATACATAGGAATATGTCTTATTATATTTGTATGCCAAAACTGTACATAAAAGAGTGCGGTGGGATTTATTTTTATTTCTGCTATTTCCTTTTGGGTGCTCGTCGTGAACGGTTGGAAAAAATGCTTTTTAGAGTAAATGATGATCGGAAATGTCAGCTGCTTTTATAGTTGCAATCAACTGTGTTAAACTGTAAGTGTAATTAATAGAAATTAACATGCAATTACAACCTGGTGGATCGATGTAACATGTTGCGCTATATGGTGATCTTCCCGTCCGGTTAATTCTGCAACCTTTGTCTGGCCACTTTATTTTTTTGTTCTTAAGCGCAATCACGGCCACAGAACCTTGAGCTTTTTGTTTCGGTATTCCGCAGGTGGAGTGCCTTCATTCTAATGGCAGTGCTAAACAAGTTCCCAAATTGGCACTTTCAAGAAAATACATTTAATCCTCCAAATCCCTAATCCTCCGCCTCTTCATGTTCATAACACCCATTCGTACCCCAAGCCATACACATTGCGTTCAAAGTCCTCCAGAGTCCTCTGATCACACGGATAATGAGAACAACCCTCTAATAACTGAGGTGGAGGCATTTTATGGATTGACAAAAACCGTATCAATTCACGTCCTGTAAACCAGCCAAGGGGTTGCCGTGTGCCGCACACGGTGTTCGGTTTATTATGCCAAATGCTAATCGTCTGGGTCTTTATTCCACGCAGGTTGTGACGTGAAAGGGATAAATAACCATGCTGGTTTTTGTTAATTCATCTTGTTGGCACTGGTAGTCTCTGAAACCTGTGTACGATGCCTCAATTGTTCCTCGTCTTATTTTGCTTTTCGACATCAGCTGTTATGAAACCCATTATTTTTGCCCCCTTTACATAGTAACATTCTCACAATAATTTTGCCAGTAGCAGCAGATTAGTTGCTGCGTAATTGGGCCTACATGTTATGCAGATGATCAAAATACTGGTGGTAAAATAGCAATACAGAACAGGGGAGTACACAGGCGAAGCAGAGTAGAAGGATCCCCTAACAGTGAATAGTAGGCTCCATAGTACATGCGACACTGCTGTGCCTCTTAGATTTCCCTCGATGGAGCGGCTTGTCTGCGAGTGACGGAATGGTGGAGTGTGCTATACATATCAGAGGGGATGGAAGCAGCATCCAATGCCATGTGCAGGTATACCGGGGATGAAAAGCACTTTCATAAACGTCCTTTAGGGGGCAGCACATACTAATCTAAATCTTGATTGTACGTTGAAGCCTATTTTTGGATTTGTCAAGCCTTTTACTAATTATCTACACGAAAATTAATGACGAGCACCACATTGATAGAAAAAAAATTCAATCGAGTGCTGCTGTTACGGCCAGTGCAGTATATTCGTGCGCGATTGGCTGTGTGCGGTTTGACATCGGGCTCCGTGATTGCAGAGGACCTGCCGAACTTTGATCGCGATGAGGTGCGAGTGGATTTTATGCCAGACCGGGAACCATGCTTTCACAAGTGGAACCTCGCGAATTGTCCCCACCAGGGACGTTATCCACAGGGTCGATTGTTCCTGATTCCGCTGCTCTTTTCGAACCAACCAACCAAGCGACCTCAAGCAAATCAGCAGTGGCCGGCTGGGACCGCGTCATTGGTTGGTTACTGAAAGGCAGGGAGATGATGGTCCATTTTGTATGGCTTTAGGAGTGCGATGGAGGGGTCTGCTGGAGACAAATACTTGATAACCCACAAAATATTGTCAAAAAAAGTAGGCTCTCATCGACCATCGACAACTCCAAGTGTATGAACATGAGCAAATTATTAAGTTCATTATTGAGGCCATCTGCAGCATCTGCGGGAAGATACGGTGCAATAAAGCATATCAAAAATAGACTTAAGTGTTCCAATTGATATAGAATGTTATCTTAAAATGCACGTGTGGGTTAGTGACTTTCCAGCACGCCCCTTCATTGAAGTGAAGCATTTTTTTTGTAAAGCATTGTTGGTGTTCACAATGGTCTCGTCGTGTGCTTCGCTCACGAGCAGTACACCCAGTGTGGTCCTGACTCGGATGTAAGTTGCCAAAGTGAACCTGTGGAACAGGCACTGTACAAGCACAAATGCTGTGCAACATTCCCCTGCCTTAGTGAGCTGGACCATTGGGAACGGTTCACGCTGAAAAATACTGGACTTGAAATAGCGTATCGCCACTTGTAGTTGCTGCTGCTGGATTCTATCCTTTGGCGGGTGGGGAGTGGTCAGTCGATCGCACATTACCGAAATGCATATATTCCCTTTCGCACTTTAAATTAATTGAGGGTTCTCGTAAGAATATGGCGTTTGGAATGGTTCACTGGTGTGTGGTTTGCTGTATAGGAGCAAAAGCTTTCAAACGTGGGCCAGTTGTGCGTTTGTCTAAATCATGCATTCACCCAGGGCTGCTTGGGAACTTTGAATGTATCAAGTTTGTGGCCGGAAGTGGCAGGTTGCAAGCCTGTTGTGGTTCCAGTTAATGGGGCATTGCAGAAGCAAAGTGGATAAAGCTGGGCTATTCCATATGTAAGTATAATCTATTACCCCACCGGTTATTGGTTTGATTACTCAACTAAACTGACAACACGAATATAGCCACATATGACGCTAGACGGGAGGTAATGGGCGAGGCATCGTGACATCATCAGCTGCGTCACACTTGTGTCCTGTAAGAGGTTTCCCACCTTCGGGAAGAACCGAAATGATCGACCACAACAAAAGTAGTCGATATTAAATTTTGACCGATTAATTTACTTAATGAATTCATTATCCCATCTTTAAAATTAAATGTTATAGATCTTCTGAAATATGTTGTTCTGATAGAACCACAGTATGTCATGGGCAAAACAAAATATCAGATGCTTTCATATTTTTTTTTAATAAATGCATTGAATTTTTCACTCCATTAAATTACAATTTTTTTTATCTGATTTTTTTAACTTGTTTTACATAGTGCTTATGATCTACGGTAGATTTTAAACTGCCAGATATCAAAAACTTTCTCTAAGCAAATATGTATAATACGCTCTTTATTTTTCTGCAGCATTAAAATATTCACTTGGACATTTATACGTCTTCAACGATGCAGTTGTCACACTTTACAACCGAGCCACGCCAGGGCCGTGCCCAGACAAACCCGGTGCAGCTATAAGAGACGCTAGTTCTTCCACTACGGAATCCGAGTTGTGTCGCTGATGTCGCAGGCAATGGCACATCGAGATACTTGTAGATAATGTCACACCGGACCCTACCTCTGGTCCAGCATGGCTGGCCGTGAGCCAGATTCAGATCTTTTGTTGAGCCACCCTATCACAATGTGGATCTGGCTCGTCACGCGAAATAGCCAGTGGAACACCACATTTACTATGATGGCTCTTGCCCTGCGGATGTGCCAGTGGAAAATTGGTGACACTGTCCACAATAATCACAGCTCAAAGCAGCCTTGTTGGGATAACAGCAACCTCACAGTAGCCTTTGAGTTTTTTCGTGTAATAAGAGGTCGAGTGGTAGTGAAATGTGACATGTGACAAGATATAATCCAGAGATAAATGAATTAAATGTATTGGCTTTGTGCAATTATTATAAAATCATAGACATTGCTTTATTCTGTCATATATTAAAACATAATTTTGCAAAACATTAACATTTTGACATGTATCCATATCGGTGCCATGATTCATGTAGATACAATTCACAGCTGCATACACACATTCAGATTTGTTAATTGGTTAGAACTGATGTAATGATAACATGAGTTTTATAATGTAGAGTAAAATAAAAATAAAAAATTTTAATGTATAGGTCGTAATAAGCAACAGTGTGTCAGGGAGTACGGTGGTAAAAGGCCAATCGTATAATCAAAGCTAAGCTGTAGTCCCTACTCTGCTTTCAGTGTCAACATCTGTGATGCAGTCATTTGCATTATCTGCATTCACCTCCTGTATTCAGGTTCATTGCACCTTACGAAAATCCACGACGGATTTGGGACTAATCTCTGATAAACTGTTGCCACTTTTTTATTACAGGGCAGTACGTCATGGGGCATAACTCAGCACTGCTGTTCTTGATTTAATATTAAAAAACAGTGTCAGTGAGAGCCCCTGACTGGACTCTTAATGAGGTTCAACGCACATACGTCGTCATTTGTATGAGAGGAAAAAAAAATCACATCCTTAACTTTTACAGCCTTTCGTGTCGGTAATTCGTAAGGCAGCTCGACGTCTCGTCGAGAAACCTGGCGTTCACTGCAAAGAGAATGAACCACAATCGCTGTTGCGGGGCGAGTGGTGAGGAGGTGCAGGTTGTCGCTTGACGGCGGAGACACCCGCCCACCCTTGAAGGGACGAGCGATCGTCGAAGTCGTCGGTGCGAACGCTCGCCAGGGCCCTCTCGACGTGGCCGTCATCCCTCGCTCTAGAGTCCCATCCGACTGTTTTTTCGCGCGCCTTCAGACGAGACGCGCGGGGCAAACTCGAAGGCCCCCCACCCCCCCACCCCCCTACCCACGCGGACACTGGGGGGAGTTTTCTTGGATGCGATATCACCCGACGGAGCCAAATGGCTGTAACCGCATGCGGGCAGCGCCAAGCCATTCTAGTCGATCGCTCAGAATTGGATTTGTGCGCCGCGCATGCTGTTTTCAATTTGGCTGCCGAGCAATGCATCGCACGCGACGAATGGTGCAAAGCGATTCACGATGGCCAGACGATCTCGCCCACAGCCCCTTTCATTTCATCTACGGATCCTCGGCAACTGGAACCCTATGAAAGTGGATGGTAATTTCACAGGTCACAAGACAGGGCTTCCCGCTCCGACGTGGCTTTCAATTTCGGACGTCGAAATTTTCTTGGCGAGGTCAAACGTTTATATTTTGCGCGTGGCGTGGTCGTGCCGCTGGAATGTGTCCCGAGACGCGAGTTATTAACGAACCTGGTCCACGTGGCTTCGCCAGCGATCCTTGTCACTCGGAAAGTGGGAATTGAACTCGCAACTGTAGAGCCAACAACCAGCTCAGCCGACGCCTCTCGACAAAGTAACGGAGGGTTTAATCATTCCGATAGTTATTTAAACTTAATGCGAGGACCTTTGTCATTGCAGTTTTTGCACTTAAGGGTGCCAACTTCACTGAAAAAGGACACTTGAACTAGGAAATGTATACATCTATTTTACTAACTTTTTAGTTAAAGTGTATTGTTTTCTTCTAAAATGATAATGCTGCTGTATTCTACATAGAGAACATTCCATGGTTTATTTTTTTGAATGTAGCGCTAAACCTTTCTGCTGTGCAAAGTTTATTAACCAGGGGCCATCATGCGCAAATGTCATCGTGACATTGACGTATGCGCTCATTTCTCTCAGTCGCCCACCGTTAATGGAACGTGCGTGCATCAGGACACGTGCACAACACAGTGCGTTGGTTACGGGGGGAGGGTTTCAAAACTGCAGGCTCTTTCTTCCGGCACACTTGTTGTGTACCTCCTTTTCCACTGCGCAACTGGGCCACAGCCAGGCCCCATGCCAAGCCAGCCAAGTGCGGCTCAGGATGTGCCGGGTTGTTTTTGCACCGCACCACCCGCAATGAACGTGTCGAGTCGCGTGTAGACGTGACGCGGTGACGCTTTTGTCCTCACTGTACTAAATGGCATCACTCGCAATGAATGCGTTATTAGCGAGGCCCTGTTTGTCCCCGAGTCGCACTCAGATGGCTTGTGAGGCCAGCGCATCACTGTGCGGTTCCGGCTCGGGCAAGGCAAATAGCCAGTGGAAATCCACCCATGCCGTAAGTGCACTGCACTGGCTCGGCTTAGATGTCACAGTGGAAACGGGTGTTGTTGACAGTTGAGGCTGTAATGCGTAGATTGCAAGGATTACAAAGGGCCAGTCAAAACGTTGTTTTGAGTGTCACCAGAATCAGCCACGCCGACCTAATGAGAGAAGCCTATTTTGAAAACTCTGATTTTTTTTGTCGGTAATATAATACATTCAATTGGCTTTAAGGGTTGTAGTGCTCGTCTGTGTACTTTTAATATCACGTTGTCAATTTTCCGCCCGCTTCTCACGCTCTCCCCGCTGGGTTGGTGGATTTTGTGAATATTATTCACGTGTACTGTATTGATCTGCATCGTGATTTGTAAAAAAATATATGAATTATAATAAAATGGTAATTTCATATCACACATGGCCAGCGTGTGTTAACGGTTCATTATTCTCGTGCTTTGCCCACAGACATTGAGCAGGGTACCTGTGCAACGGTGGTCATCTAGAACAGACCGTGCAATGTATAACGACGGAATGCCCCGATCCACAAATACGAAGGAGACATCGCGGCGATGATGCACTCCACCACTCCTGCCGCGGTTATCCGGGCTTGACCACCTGAATGTGAAATTGTAATTGTTGCGTTGCATCTCCGTCAGCCATTCGAAAGAAGAAGGGTGCCTGTACATCTGCACATCAGTTTGCACGTAAGCATGTACAGTACTGTACAATATTTATGGAAAAAAATTGTACCTGGACGTGGTGTAGTGGTGGTACAGCGTGGGTGCGCCACACCTCTTTCTAAAGAGGCGCCAGGGTGGCGAGATGTTGCCTACCTCACCTGGTATGCAGGAGGTCGTGGGTTCGATCCCGACCTTGACGCCTGCTGTATATTTGGAGTTTGCGTTTCTCTCTCCCCGTGGTTGCGCGTATTTTTCCTTGGGTCCTCCGGTTTTCCCCTCCACATTTAGAAACACGCGTTTAGAGTATTTGGCTGCTACAGTGAGGGAAAAAAGTATTTGATCCCCTGCTGATTTTGTACGTTTGCCCACTGACAAAGAAATGATCAGTCTATAATTTAAATGGTAGGTTTATTTGAACAGTGAGAGACAGAATAACAACAAAATCCAGAAAAACGCATGTCAAAAATTGTATAAATTGATTTGCATTTTAATGAGGGAAATAAGTATTTGACCCCTCTCAATCAGAAAGATTTCTGGCTCCCAGGTGTCTTTTATACAGGTAACGAGCTGAGATTAGGAGCACACTCTTAAAGGGAGTGCTCCTAATCTCAGCTTGTTACCTGTATAACAGACACCTGTCCACAGAAGCAATCCATCAGATTCCAAACTCTCCACCATGGCCAAGACCAAAGAACTCTCCAAGGATGTCAGGGACAAGATTGTAGACCTACACAAGGCTGGAATGGGCTACAAGACCATTGCCAAGCAGCTTGGTGAGAAGGTGACAACAGTTGGTGCGATTATTCGCAAATGGAAGAAACACAAAACAACTGTCAATCTCCCTCGGCCTGGGGCTCCATGCAAGATCTCACCTCGTGGAGTTGCAATGATCATGAGAACGGTGAGGAATCAGCTCAGAACTACACGGGAGGATCTTGTCAATGATCTCAAGGCAGCTGGGACCATAGTCACCAAGAAAACAATTGGTAACACACTACGCCGTGAAGGACTGAAATCCTGCAGTGCCCGCAAGGTCCCTCTGCTCAAGAAAGCACATATACATGCCCGTCTGAAGTTTGCCGATGAACATCTGAATGATTCATAGGACAACTGGGTTAAAGTGTTGTGGTCAGATGAGACCAAAATGGAGCTCTTTGGCATCAACTCAACTCGCCGTGTTTGTTTGGAGGAGGAATGCTGCCTATGACCCCAAGAACACCATCCCCACCGTCAAACATGGAGGTGGAAACATTATGCTTTGGGGGTGTTTTTCTGCTAAGGGGACAGGACAACTTCACCGCATCAAAGGGACGATGGACGGGGCCATGTACCGTCAAATCTTGGGTGAGAACCTCCTTCCCTCAGCCAGGGCATGGAAAATGGGTCGTGGATGGGTATTCCAGCATGACAATGACCCAAAACACACGGCCAAGGCAACAAAGGAGTGGCTCAAGATGAAGCACATTAACGTCCTGGAGTGGCCTAGCCAGTCTCCAGACCTTAATCCCATATTAAATCTGTGGAGGGAGCTGAAGGTTCGAGTTGCCAAACGTCAGCCTCGAAACCTTAATGACTTGGAGAAGATCTGCAAAGAGGAGTGGGGCAAAATCCCTCCTGAGATGTGTGCAAACCTGGTGGCCAACTACAAGAAACGTCTGACCTCTGTGATTTCCAACAAGGGTTTTGCCACCAAGTACTAAGTCATGTTTTGCAGAGGGCTCAAATACTTATTTTCCTCATTAAAATGCAAATCAATTTATAACACTTTTGACATGCGTTTTCTGGATTTTTTTTGTTGTTATTCTGTCTCTCACTGTTCAAATAAACCCACCATTAAAATTATAGACTGCGAATTTCTTTGTCAGTGGGCAAACGTACAAAATCAGCAGGGGATCAAATACTTTTTTTCCCTCACTGTATGCATTTCCACGTGATAAACAACTTCGCTGAGCTATTATTTGTGGCAAGGTCGCTTCTGAAAAAAGATCAGTATAGCTCAGTGGGCCTTACCTGGTAAAATAAAAAATAGTTTCATTGAAAACTTATTTATTTACAACTGCTTGTTGCATTTAGTTTGTTGTCTTTCCCCCTAGCATGGTTGGCAATGAACGGTGTGAAATAAGTTCTTCGCACGCAGCGCTTTTGGCAATATTCGTTTGCAGCAGGGTTTCCAATTGGACAACTTGCTTTAACGGGAGGACTTCGTGAAAGTTGCTACCTCCCTCCGCACTATGAACCCGATGGCCTGAGGTCAATTCCCCCTTGCGCTGGACGTCGCCCTTCACAATCTTTACGACGTAGATCGAAAGGAGCAGGTCGTGAATGAATAACCCAGATTGGCCCACGCAGTTTAAAGCGCAAATGGGTAAATTCACGCACAATTAAACCGATTGAGCCATGTGAGAGGGCCCGTGTGTTATTCTTCCTCCCGCAGTGTCGAGCAACGAGAGAGAGAGAGAGAGCGCGAGAGACCCAGCGTTGAAAAGAAATTGAGCCATTAAACGGCCCGCCCAATTGGCACATAGGAAACCTCTGACCGTGTCGAGATGCGTTCCGTAGCCTCAACGCAACCTATCATTGACCAACTGCACCTCGCACACAAACGGGTGAGCTTTCAACTATTTTTTTTTGCAACAGCTCTCTGGGGTCCCCGACCTTTCTTCCCCCTCCACGTTCTTGAAATCGATCTTTGTTCAGAAGCTCTGATCACGAGACCCCGCTTCACCCCCGATTGGCTCGGTTGGCTACGTACGGTTGCCAAAGAAGTTCCTGCTTGGCGTACATCGAGCGTTAAAGCTTCCGAAAGAAGCTCCCAGCACGTGGCGCGAACGAAGCGTCGTCGGTACGCCGTGCCGAACGAGGCGTGGTGGAGCCAGAGACCACAGTGAGAGAGCCGCGACAGCGCATAAGGGAAAACAATAAACCCGACGCAATGACTTTTGCAGCAGCTTCGAGATCCAGCAGAAGGAAAGGAAGCGCTGGCGAGGTTTTGGTGGTGCTGTGGGAGACACCAGACTCGTTATTTAGACTGGAGGAGGAATCCGATGGAGCTATGAAGCTCTTTTTCACAGATGTCCAGTATGGGCGGGTCAGCGAGACGTGGACCATTGACCAATAACGGGGTGCCCTACAACATGGCGTTCACTTTTCTGTTCCGCTCGTTCGCCCCAGGAAAGTCTCGCTGAGTCTCAAGACTCTCTTTTTTTCAGGAGGGTCCTTCCAAGTGTGATTTTTTTGTCTTGCAGTAGAGGGGGGGGGGGGGGCATGTTATTTCGTCAAGAAGAATAAAACATCATCATCATCATCACGCCAACTCGGTTATCCTCGCAGCAGCAGCAGCGGCTTTTTGGCTAGCCCACCGAACACAGACGGCGGTCACCGCGTCGAGCGCTTTCCGATGCGCTTCTGCGGCCGTTCGGAACGCTCTATTCCTTCCGATATTAGGAAACCACTTCCGCTATGCACTTTTTAAATCATCATCTAGATGACAAACTCATTTCTGTCGAACAGTTTTTTTTGTGATTGGTTTGTTTGTCCTTCCCCCGCATCACTGATTAGCACGGTTTGGCTATGGACGGTGCGAAAAAAAGTTCAACATAAATACATAAAACAAGTTACTGTGATGCTAATATTGGTCATTTTCGGGTCATGTTTCATCATTGTAATTTTTTGGCCAAGAGCTGCTTCATTGTATCGGGGTGTTTTTTTTTCTCTCTCTCTTTAATCCAACTCTGGGAGTAAACCAAAAGGCCGATAGCTCATTGCGTAGCTTTGCAACGTCTTTGGATTGCAGGGGGGGGATGGTGGCAGCTTAGGGAGGGCTTCATCCAGCGGTGGATAGACCATGACCGACGATGACGACGACGATGTAAGCTCTACGCAGAAGCAATCTCATGCCACATAGGGCCCGCCGGCTTTTTCGTCTCGCCTTGCGATTGCCAAATCTCTCCCCCCGACACCCCACCGCACTCCCCGCCTTTGGTTTCTCGCCGCGTTATTCAAAGCAGATGGTGCGGGGTGCTGAAGAAGATGAAGAAGATGAAGGAGGAGGAGGAGGGTTGACGTGCACACCGGGGCGGGGACGGGAAGGGAGCGAGCGTGCGCGCGTTGGCTGTTGATGTGGGAGAGAGTGCGGGGAGAGCGAAGCGAGAGGGATGGAGGGAGGAGAGAGGGAGGGACCACATGGGTGTCTCTCTTTTTCTTACGATCAGAGGAAACAAGAAGGTGCTCGGTGCGGTCGGCGCTTTGCTTCGTTCATCATTTCATGTTTTTCGTTTTTTTCAATGCTTTGCTTTATGTGCCCCCACCCCCCCCCCCCCATTTTTAAATGAAAGATTTCACACAGAAAAGAGGGGGAGGGAGGAGAGTGGGAGGGAGTTTTGTGAAATCTTTCAAAAGGGGGGGGGGGCACATAAAGCAAAGCATTGGGGAAAAAAACCCGAAATGATGAACGAAGCCAAGTGCCGACTACACCATGCATCTTCTTGTTTCCTCTGATCGTAAAAACAAGGAGAGAGGGAGGGAGGGAGGAGAGACGAGGAGAGGGTTTGTGCTCGAGGCGAGGGCGCAGATGTTTGAAACAGAAGGGAACGTGCGTTTCGCTTGTCCTTACTCCCTTAACCCCCCCCCACCCCGCCGTACCTCCCGATTATCACGGTTGGGTACGTACGGTGCGAAAGAAGTTCAAGATGCTGACGCACGTAACGTGTAGCGTCAGACAGCGTGAGGGTTGGGTG